GGAGGATTGGGTGGTGGGGCAGGGGGAGGATGGGAAGGGATGGGAAGGGGAAACAAAGGAGGAGGCTACAATGCTTGATAAGAAATGTACTCATTATCTTGCCCATGTAATTGTAACCCTTTTGTACAGTATTTTCACAATAAAAATTTTTTTCCTGACAAATTACTTTCTCTAGCACTTCAAGATAGATTCCCACTGAGTTATACATTTTCCTCATATTATTCCATTGTCTTCTGACTTCCATGTTGGTATTGAGAGGTCAGCTGTCAGTTGAACAATTGCTGAGCTGTAAAAATCTGACATTGGTATCTATTGCTTTTAGAACTTCCTGTCTTTGGTGCTCTGCAGTTTATGCAATAATGATAAATTTATTGAGCTACAGATGTCTTTTAACTGTTTCTGCTTGATACTAATTTTGGATTTGGTATCTGAAAATTTCATTGCCTTGGTCTTGGTAGCTTGATTCTGTACTTTGTGGCTCTGCTAATTCACATTCAGCTTCATTTTTTTTTATCCATTTAATGAATTTTAACTTGGACATTTTGTCTGTGGGGATAGTTCAGTTCTGAATGACAGTATTAGAGAAAATCTGGACCAAATATTCCACTCACTTCGATCAAGCTCAGTGAAATGATACTTGATATTCACTTCTGCTTTTTGAAAGCTATCACCAGCTGTTGGGGACTAGCAATTCTTAGTTCACAACTAACCAATATATAGATAAGTCACCTTATCTCTTATAAGACTTCCACTGTTGTGGAAATGCACTTTTGTGTTTGTGGAGAATATCTAGGCTGTTAAGCAGAAAATGCAAGAGAGGAAATGAGAACCTATCTAGGACAAGAAGTTGCCCACAAGGCAAAGAATACAGGCACAAAACTAATGGGGCTGAGAAACACTTCCAAAATTCTGGCTACCTCTTAATCACTGGTTCTAGGAACAAATCCCTCCAGGCCTTAACCATCACTCTTGAAAGAATTTGGGGAGTTCCAGGTTGGTCCTGAGACTTCCTGTGAGTGAGTGAGCGAGTGAGTAAGTGTGTGAGTGAAGCTGACTTGTCCTAGGAGGTATGTTGAAGGGTGGAACTGTCTTCCGGCTCCTTCCAAACTGGGTTTTGTATGTTGATACTGGTGACAGGGGCTGCCGATGCTGATATTGCAAAGAGGTACCAGAGCTCTGCATTAAGCAACTCACTAAGTGTCTTTCCCCTCCAAGCTTTGGAAAGTGCACAAAAATATGTTACCTGGACAACACACAAGCAATGCTAGTTGTTAGTGGAAATGCCAGTTAGGACTTAGACAACTAGTGACTGCACCAGGACTTGTGAAA